TTGAATTTAACTACTGTCTTGGCAAATTTAATCAGATGATGATTAAATCAGCCTGGTAGATTGGTATTAATTTGATGGCTCATTCTGTGACTTTTTCAACTTTATGATAAAATGCCTATAGAAGTGATGCATAAAAGCAATTTTGTTCTATTTTCTTTTCCTAAACTTCATCTGGCTAGCAGACCCATAGCTTTATTTATCCTGTAATCCAATCACAGATGAAGGAGCCAGAACTGTTTAGTTTATGTTTACCGTATTTCAATTATTCCTTCCATATTAGTAGAGAAGTACATTTAAATGTATAGCCTGTGATATAAGATAGAGTAACATGTACAGTAGTTCAGTGTTAACAATGTTGTGTATTTTAAGAAGTTAAAATGCTTTTTCTTGTCATATATGTGAAGTACTGTATGCTGTCAATGCCCTGATCTTCACTGAGGTTAGCAGTGATTAGATCAGGGGTCGGCAACCTTTCAGAAGTGGTGTGCCAAGTCTTCATTTATTCACTTTAATTTAAGGTTTCGCGTGCAGGTAATACATTTTAACATTTTTTAGAAGGTCTCGCTCTATACGTCTATATTATATAACTAAACTATTGTTGTATGTAAAGTAAACAAGGTTTTCAAAATGTTTAAGAAGCTTCATTTAAAATGAAATTAAAATGCTGATCTTACGCCACCAGCCTGCTCAGCCCGCTGCCAGCCTGGGGTTCTGTTCCCCTGGGGTGGCGGCGGGCTGAGTGGGGCCTGTGGCTGGGACGCCGGCTGGCAAGAGGCCGGGAGCTGGGACCCCAGACCTGGGAGGGGGGGATTCAGGGGTCAGGGCAGAGGGCTGGGGTGTGTGGGGAGTGTAGGGCAGAAGGGGGGGTTCAGGGGTCAGGGCAGAGGGCTGGGGTGTGTGGGGAGTGTAGGGCAGAAGGCTGGGTTCAGGGGTCAGGGCAGAGGGCAGTGAGGGGGTGGGGGTCAGGGAAGAGGGCTGGGGGTGTGGGGGTACAGGGCAGAAGGCTGGGTGTGTGTGGAGGGGTCAGGGCAGAGGGCAGTGGAGGTGTGGGGGTGTTCAGGAGCTGCTGCAGGGCCAAGCTTCTGCCTCCTGCCCCCGCAGGGGAGAGTGGTGGGCGGGGAGGCTGAGTGGAGCTGGGGGCTGGGACTGCGGCAGGCAGCAGCATGCCACTCAAAATCGGCTTGCGTTCCGCGTTTGGCATGCGTGCCCTAGGTTGCCGACCCCTGGATTAGATGGTAGCATTTAGGCAGGTGTCCCATCATGCTTTGGGATATACGTTCTCTCCTCCTCCTCCTCCTCCTAGTGTGCATATTACCGCCGCTATCGTTAACAGGAACTGTGTGGCTGCATAAAGGGGATAATCCACCTAATGGCTGCTAATTCTATTGAATAAGAAAATCTAGCTCAGTGGTTTGCATTTTCAAGTGAAAGACATGGCACACCATCTGTAAGCACCATTAGAAGCCACCCATGTGCATCTAGGGTTGCCAAAACCGAACCCTTGCCCTTCCCCGCCTCTTCTCTGAGGCCCTGCCCCCAGCTCAATCCATCACTTGCTCTCTACCATCACTCACTTTAACCGGGCTGGGGCAGGGCATTGGGATGTGGGCAGGGGTGAGGGCTCTGGGGTGGGGCCAGAAATGAGAGGTTCGGAGTGCAAGAGGGAGTTTGCACCCTGATGGGGCAAGGGGTTGGGGTGTGGGAGGGGGTGAGTGCTTTCGGGGGAGTGGGGATGTGGGGTTTGGAGTGCGGGAGGGGGCTCTGGGCTGGGGCCAAGGGGTTCAGAGTATGGGAAGGAGCTCAGCACTGGGGCAGCTGTTGGGGTGTGGGAAGGAGTGCGGGTTCTGGGAAAGAGTTTGGGTACGGGGGGCGCTGGGGTGGGGGGTTGGGGGGTGCAGGAGGGGGTGTGGGCTCTGGAGGGAGGGTGTGGGAGGGGACTCAGGGCTCGGGCGGGGGTTGGGATGCGGGAACGGGTTCTGGGGGTGCTCTCTGGGTGGTGCTTACCTGAGGTGGCTCCCAGAAGCGGCCGGCATGTTCAGCTCCTTAGGCAGAGGGGCCAGGGGGCTCTGCATGCTGCCCACAGGCGCCACTCCCGCAGCTCTCGTTGGCCACGGTTCCTTGCCAGTGGGATCTATGGACCTGGCATTCGGGGCGGGGGCAGCATGTGGTGTCCCTGTGGCCACCCTGTACCTAGGAGCTGGACATGCCGGCTGCTTCCGGGAGTTGCGTGGAGCCAGGGCAGGCAGGGTGCCTGCCTTAGCCCCATTGCGCTACCGATTGTGCTGACCGGAGCCGCCAGGGTCCCTTTTCGACTGGAACTGGACGTCTGGCAACCCTATGTGTATCCCAGGGTAGGATTTAACCCTCAGTACGCTTGCTGTCTGCATATTTGTGCTGTAGAAATTGTTTCCTTAGTCAATATCTGATCATGTAGGCCTGACTCAGACAAAACTTACGTATTCAATATGCATTACGCATAGGAATGACAGATCTATTACAAGAATAAGCTTTATACACAACTACAAACTGTCTTACAGGTTGTAACTAGATCTGAGTGAATTTGTTGCTGGTTTTTTTGGTTCAGGGGTTAAGCTGAAATTTAAAAAAAAACTGATTTTGTTCAAGGCAAATGAGAGAACTAAAAAAAATCATTTAGGGTCAAATAAAATATTTTGTTTAAACCGAAATTATTTGTTTCCAGTTTTTTTGGGTGTTTTTCACTATCTTTTGATTTTTTTTTGTTTTTAAATTTAGCTAAATATCAAAATAAAAATACATTTTTGATATAAAAAGTCCAAACATTATTTTTCAAAATGGCCAAGACAAAAAACACTTCCAATTTTTCAAAATATATATTTTTAGGGCTGTCAAACGATTTTTTAAAATTGCAATTAATCACGAGATTATAAAAAATAGTCGCAATTAATCAGTTTTAATTGTACTGTATACAATAGTAGAATACCAATTTAAATTTATTAAAAATATATATATTTTTTTTACATTTTCAAATATATTGATTTCAGTTATAACACAGAATACAAAGTGTACAGTGCTCACTTAATATT